CCCCGAATGAAACGCTATGGGGACTTTCATTGAGCACCTCATCTTCCTCTAATGTTGCAACTATTAAATCAGAGCCGCTCGTATTAGTAAGGACTTTGGCATTTGATCCCTCAATAATGAACACTTCGGAGTTACTGCTTTGGTGCGACATTTCGTCGAATATGTGGTTTTCTATTTCTGTATAATAGTCCTTTTTGACTGCATAGTTAGACTTTACTAAGTTTTCCTTATCGCCCAAGCTTTCCTCGAACACCTCATCTATGGAAGTTGCTGAAAGTTTTCCATCAAGTAAACAAGTATTAGGATCATGTGTCACGACCCGGATTTCCCACCCTCGGGAGTCGTGATGGCGCCTACTCGTAGAAACTAGGCAAGCAAAAAAATACAGAAATTCTAACTCTTTCATTTTAATTCTTTTTGATAACTTGTAATAACAGGTGATCAACATTTAAATAATAGCAAAAGATGGATTTAAGCGGAAGACTTAGATAAACATAATACCAAAAACGATACGAAAAGCCAACATTTGTCTCTACCCAGAAACCGGTGTCACAACATTCACGGACTGTCTATGATTACTACATACAAATGTCTGAAAGAAAGAAACTCAGTCTGTCTCGGATACAAATGACAATAAAACATAATAGTAGATAGAGGAGACGTTGGGCCTGCGGACGCCTGCAGGACTACATCGGGATCTCTGGAGTGAAGGCTGGCTCCCAAGCTACTGCTGTTGTCCCAGTACTGCTCCGGTACTGCACAGAGTGCAGAGTGTAGCATCAGCACAACCGACCCCATGTGTTGGTAAGTTCCTGGCCTAACCCCGGCGAGGTAGTGACGAGGCTAGGACCAGACTCCAGATAAACCTGTGCAATTATATACATATATACAACAGAAAATAAACTAGAACAAAGAATTAAAGCTGGGAAGGGGAAACATGCTTCGGGGAATAACAGATAAAACCGAATCTCAAGAGAATTATCAGGAAACTAAAATTTAACTTCTAACAAGGAAAAGGAAAACAAAGGCAGATTTCACTCTCGGTTCACATCTCGTTGCAGGCGTGCAACCCGATCCCATTTCTCATATCTTATGGTAGGCGTACCACCCGCTCCCATTTCATCATATCTCGTGGTAGGCGTACCACCCGATCCAATTTCATCATATCTCGTGGTAGGCGTACCACCCGATCCAATTTCATCATATATCGTGGTTGGCGTATCACCCGATCCCATTTCATTATATCTCGTGGTAGGTGTACCACCCGATCCCATTTCATTATATCTCGCGGTAGGCGTACCACCCGATCTCATTTCATTATATCTCGCGGTAGGCGTACCACCCGATCCCATTTTATTATATCTCGTGGTAGGCGTACCACCCGATCCCATTTACAAGCCAACACAAAATCACAAGGAATCCCGGCAAGGGAACAATAACAATTTAATAACTTCCCGGCAAGGGGACAAAAGCAATATAATAACTTCCCGGCATGGGAGCAACAATATCAAGACAACATCCCGGCAAGGGAGAATCAGCTATAACCAATCCTAACTCAACTCCTACTCCGCTAAATTAGTACCAACACTCAATCATAAATAAAATCCACGAAAATAAACTAAATCTTTGCTCAATATCGAGAATCATCAATTAAAGCATCCGTAGTAACATTTAAGAACACAACATCTATCAATTCAAGACTCACGGTCATGCTCGACACCAACGTATAGATACTCGTCACCATGCCTATACGTCGTACTCAACAAGAAGCAATTAGCAAGTAGGACACAACTCCTAATCTCTCAAGCTAAGGTTAGACCGGACACTTACCTCAAACTTCCACGGCCAACTCAAGCCTCAAACACCGCCTTTCCTTTCGAATTCGGCTCCAAATCAATCGTATCTATACATAATCGACTTTATAACATCAATAAACGCTAAACAATTCAATTCCAATGCCTAATTATAGCTTTCTAATCATTCTTCCCAAAAATCCAAAAATCGACCCCGGGCCCGCTTGGTCAAAACACGAGGTTCGAACCAAAATCCGGTACCCCATTCATCCACGAGCCCAAATATATAATTATTTCTAAAATTCGATCCCAAAACGAGGTCTAAATCACAATTAATCAAAAAGCCCTAACTCTACCCAAATCCCTAATTTTCTACCCTTAATCTCATGTTTTAGGCCTAGAAATCTAGTGGGTGTTGATAAAAATGGAAGATAACAAGTTAAAAATTACTTACCCAAGAGATTATGGTGAGGAAATGCTTCAAAAATCACCTAAGAGCTTTGGAGAAGAAGAGGTTTATGAAATTTTATGAAAATCCCGAAAGTGTTCTGTTTTGGTCTTTTAAAATCACTGGGCGAAAACACTCATCGCGTTCGCAACAGGTCCATCGCGTTCGCTATGGGTTAGGCTTGATAAGCCTTCGCGTTCGCGGAATAAGGCTCGCGTTCGCGTAGGGTAATTGCCCCACCCCCTGCCCAGACCCAATTAGCCTTCGCGTTCGCGTGGCCAGGACCGCGTTCGTGAAGGGATAACCCCCCAATGCCTCGCGTTCGCGACCTTTGCTACGCGTTCGTGTAAAAGGAATTTCCTTCATAAAAATTTAATGCATCGCGTTCGCGAGGGTTCTCCCGCGAACGCGAAGAAAGAAACATCAGGAACCCAACAGCTGAAAACCTGCAATTTTTCTTAAGTCAAAAACCTCTCGAAACACATCCGAAACACACCCGAGCCCTCGGGGCTCCTATCCAAACATACGTACCAACTCAATAACATCATATGAACTTATTCGTGCGATCAAATCGCCAAAATTACCTCAATAACAACGAATTAAACCTCAAAATCAAAGAATTTTTCTCAAACTTCATAAAACATCATTTTCGCAATTTAGGTCCAAATCACGTCAAATGACATCCGTTTCTCACCAAATTTCACAGAATCATCTTAAATCATATATAAGACCTGTACCAGGCGCCGGAACCAAAATACGGGCCCGGTACCATCATGTTCTAATCAAATTTCATTTCAAATTCCTTTAAACAATTTCAGAAAATAATTTTCTTTAAAAATTTATTTCTCGGGCTTGGGACCTCGGAATTCGATTTCGGGCATACGCCCAAGTCCCATAGTTTCCTACGGATCCTGCGGGACCGTCAAATCACGGGTCCGGGTCTGTTTACCCAAAACGTTGACCGAAGTCAACTTAAATGCATTTTAAGTCGAAATTTTTAATATTTCACAGATTTTTCACATAACAGCTTTTCGGCTACATGCCCGGACTGCGCGCGAAAATCAAGGTGAAGATAAAAGAGGATTTTAAGGCCTCGGAACACAGAATTAAATTTAAAAGCAAGTGATGACCTTTTGGGTCATCACATCATGACTTTCTGGGCTCACAATTGTAACTAGCCTTTCAACGAACAGATGGTCCGCATTTGAAGTTTCATATTCCAAAACAGAGTGGCACCCGTATGAGTTGGGGATATGGCAATCGAGAAAGGAATACACCTGGGCCTCTGGTGGACTACTGTTGCATAACTCAATTCGGTTGAACAAGCATGTGAAGGTTTGTCCAACCGCCCCATCAAAGCACTGAAGTTGTGATTCCGAAAATGTAGAAATAGTTTCTCCTTGAAATGCTTCCAATCGTGGAATTGCTTATTGCGAAATAACCAATTGAACCTAGTAAGAGCTTCACCATCAAGGTAAAAGGAGGGGAGTGGTAACCAATCCTTCTCCGCGAAGCCAAGATAGGTGAAGTACCGGTCGGCTCGAAAAGCCAGCTCAATGCGTTGCCATTGGCATTAAATCGATCTAATACCTCCATTGGAGTCCGATGGATGAAAGCACCAATGTAACAATGGTGAAACTCCTCACTATATTAGTAAGAATATGAACACTGATTATAACTCTCAAGGTACCGAATTACAATGAAAACTACTGAGATAACAAGTAACTAAGGAGTAAGGATAGAGATAAGTATTGGAATGAGAAGATAGATTGAAGAAGGAGATGGATGCCAGAAGAGTCAGGATGAGAAACACGGAATTGCCTTCGCACATAATTCAACATGCCTACTGATAGCAGTACCCCGTACTATTTAATCAGCCTGAATCCCATATCAACCTTTGTGAAGGCCTGGCCCAATTGCTTCTTCTCGGCCCAATGTCTATTTGTGTGTCATCCTTGTTGGTATCCATATTGGGTTGGAGCCGATTCATAACAATAATTGGTAGAACTTCCCAGATATTCCGTCAGGTGTCATGTTGTGGAATATCGCTGTGCTATTAGTCGATAACTTTGATTGATGCATCTTGTCTATACTTACAGCACATAGTCATCTCATATACTATCATCTTTTTCCTACCCAGATTAAAAGAATAATTAAGGAAATAAATTAAAGAAAATTAGAGATAAACGATGGTAGACTTTCGCTAAGTCGCTAAAAGCCACAGATTATATTTGTATTTATTATATGTACGTGTGTCTCTGTATGTCTCTAATATGTATTCTGACGATAGTTATTACTTATTAGTATACAGATCGATGGGATTTTAAATAATCAGCGCTCCATTTATCATAAACTAGGACTCCCCTAAGCTATGAAGGTGATATTTTAACAAATTTAATTTGTCAAATACTACTTATATTCATTAAAAGATGAACTACTCCGGCTATATATATAAACTACTAGAGTGAAGGAGATCATTGGTGACGACGCTGAAACTAAATCATTCGAGCTATGATCGTCATTAATGACGATACTCGTAAAATTTTGAAAAGTCAACCGCGATACACTCTACAGGCACATGTACACTGAGTTTAAATTTTTAATATTTTAATACTCTTGTATGGTATTATTATTTTTTGAACAGAGCTTTTACTATTTCTGTATTCAATACGAACCATACTTATAGAATACCACCAATCGTGCTACCTTTCATTCCCCATGTCTCTCAGGTCTCTTTTGTAATTTCTCTGACTTCCTCTCCTCTATATATAACTGATCACATAGACTTGTGATTTATTGAGCTGTGAAACCGTTTCAATATTATATTTGTCTTTCTCTAAGTTGTCAGATGACTTAACAGCATATATATATATATATATATATATAGCAACAAAAGAGTAGTTGGGAGAATCAATCTTAGGGAAATTAAGTGATCAGAAATGAGTACTACTACGAAGAGTCAAACGATGATACAAAAGAAAAGCTACGGCTCTTTTGGGTCAATTTTCATGCATGCCGATAGAGCAGATATCTTGTTGATGTTTCTAGGGTTTTTTGGAGCGGTTTGCGATGGGTTTTCCATGCCGATAATGCTTATAGTCACCAGCAAACTTATGAACAATCTTGGTGATTCTGACACTTCAAACTCCGATAATTTCACCCACCACATCAATGAGGTAACAAATGCACATTAAAAAGTAGTTGTAATTCTTTTTAATACAAAGAAGCGATATGGTTTGGTTTCTTTACGTATAATATATATAATGAATTAACAAAGTTTGGTTTATGAATCTGATTGCAGAATGCTTTGGTTCTGGTTTTCCTTGCCTGTGGCCAATGGGTCGCTTGTTTCTTAGGTTTGACTACTCTCTACTCTTTCCAATATAATCCATTGATTTTCGCTCGTTCTCAATTTGCATCAAATTTAAAGATTTCATTTCCTTATTCGATTTATGAACTTCTTTTTTTTATATTTTTTTTGCTATAGAGGGATTTTGTTGGACAAGAACAGCAGAAAGGCAAGCTTCAAGGCTACGAATAAGATACTTGAAAGCAGTTCTAAGGCAAGATGTGGGCTACTTTGACCTACATGTTGCTAGCACAGCCGACGTTATAACTAGCGTCTCAAGTGACAGTCTCGTCATTCAAGACTGCATTAGTGAAAAGGTTCGTTTTAATTTCCTTTTCCACTCAAGTCTCCAAAAATAATGTGTTACTATATGTTATATACACCGACAGTGTAATGAATTTTTATAGCAATGTTACGAATATACAGAATTTAAACTCTTTGAGGTTTAGCTGATAATGTTTATAATTATATATAGGTTCCAGTTTTCTTGATGAACGTAGCAGCTTTTATTGGATCATACGTGGTAGGATTCTTGATGCTGTGGAGGCTGGCATTAGTAGGATTTCCCTTTGTTATTTTCCTGGTAATTCCAGGTCTCATGTACGGAAGGGCTCTAATGGGCATAGCCAGAAAAATCAGGGACGAATATGGCAAAGCTGGAACAGTTGTGGAGCAAGCAATTTCTTCTGTTAGAACAGTTTATTCCTTTGTGGGAGAAAACAAAACAATAGCAGAGTACTCTGCTGCACTAGAGGGAACTGTAGAATTGGGACTAAAGCAAGGTTTAGCAAAAGGCTTGGCTATTGGAAGTAATGGCATAGTATTTGCAATTTGGGGCTTCATGTCTTATTATGGTAGCAGATTGGTCATGTATAATGGAGCACATGGTGGCACCGTTTTTGCCGTCGGCGCTGCAATTGCTATCGGTGGACTGTAATTATCTCTACCTTTTCCCACATTCTCTTGCCCCCACCTCCACTCGGAGTGTGCCGGAAAATATTTGATCTTTACGAAAATAGTCATTATATTCGTTGTTTACTTTTAAAAGCTATATACATAGGAGATTATACATCCGTTATACATAATTATATTACTACATAAATTATGCATATATGATACCTCCAACGGCTTTAATTTAAGCGGTTGGGTGAACGGCTATCTGAGTTAATTCTTTAATTTTTTTTATTTTTTTTAAAAAAGTGATGTTATCTCTCACTTTGAGCCGAAGTTATTTTGTCTTTCACAATTATGGCTACTCTTATATTATTTTTTAACTAATTTTTAATAATAATTTTTCTAAAATAATAGTTCTTCCCTCCCCAATAAAATAAGAAAAACCGTTTTCAAGAATATGTTTTGTAGAAAATAAATTATTTTTCGAAAAATATTTTTAAACAACTAACTTGACAAACACTATTCCTGGACGTTATTTTTCAAACCTCGGGAATGTGTTACGGTTTAATTTTTTGGACTGGTTCATTTATTTCGAAGATATGACAAGTTTGACAAATACTACATAACACCAAAATTCTTAAAATTATTTATGTGCTCCGTAGTCTGTAGTCAGATTCTATAGCAGATTTTTGAGTAATTTATAAAACATTTTTTTTTCTTTTTTATTCCCTCCAAACAGATCACTGGGTTCTGGTTTGTCAAACGTGAAGTATTTTTCCGAAGCAAGCGCGGCTGGTGAACGTGTAATGGAAGTGATAAAAAGAGTACCAAAAATAGACTCAGATAACATGGAAGGCCAAATACTGGAAAGCATAACAGGGGAAGTGGAATTCAGACACGTGGAATTCGCATACCCGTCGAGACCCGAAAGCATAATTTTGAAAGACTTAAATTTAAAAGTTCCAACAGGTAAATTAGACGTAGCTAGAATTTAAAATTTTATGCTAAACAAATTCATTACTTATTTTAGTTACTGAATTCATAATTAAGTATTTATATATATTTGTCGGAAGTCGTAGCTAATGCTCTAATTTCGCGCTGCAGGTAAAACAGTGGCATTAGTGGGAGGAAGTGGGTCAGGAAAGTCAACAGTAGTAGCATTGCTACAGAGATTTTACGAACCACTTGCAGGAGAGATATTTGTGGATGGAGTCGCTATTGATAAGTTGCAGCTCAAGTGGCTAAGGTCTCAAATGGGTTTAGTGAGTCAAGAGCCAGCACTATTTGCAACTACAATTAAGGAAAATATACTTTTTGGGAAAGAGGATGCATCTATGGAACAAGTTATTGAGGCTGCAAAAGCTTCTAATGCTCATAATTTCATCTGTCAGTTGCCTCAGGGTTATGATACCCAGGTGCGTTCCCTTTTGTACTTTACTTAATTACCTGCAATTTCCTTCATATTTGTCCTATCCTTACTTTATTATGAGAAATAAAAATTGCGAAAAACGGTCATAAATATCTTATATAAATACTTTAATTTTACTTAACAAATTGTTTCGTACAGTATAGTGGAGGATATAATTTAAAACAAAATTAAAAGTAAGGGAATAATTTTGGACCTTTTCTTTGAAATATTTTGTCACTTAAAATTCGTCAAATCCATTAAAGTCGCGGACGAATCCAAGATGATTTGGTTATAGTAAAAGTATGAATCATCTCAAAGTATAACCGAGTATAAAATTTAATATATTTCCTGTCATAGATAGGTACTCCCTTCTATACATTTTAATTAATTTTTTGACTGTTTTCATACATATTAAGAAATTCACACATTAATTAACAATATAATTGTTCATATTAACCTTAATTTGTTTATTGAAAATATAGTAAATACCCGTAGGCTCTTTACTCCAAGGTCAACTTTGAAAAAAGAAATTTTATTCCTTCTTGATATCTGAAAAATTAAATATTGTGAACAGAAAAAAATACAAAAAAATCAATTAAAATGACCGGAAAATATAAGCAAGTCGCTGTTAATGAATAGCTTTGCTTCCACGATTTGAGTCAAAATGATTGATTCTTTTGTGTGCAAAGAATTCCGAATGCACTTAACTAATGCTATATAATGTCTCGGTTTTTGAAAGGTCAAAATGTTTTGTTTTTCTTTTTAATCATTGTCTTTTCATGTTGGCATACAAGTGGGTTCTGCTATAGAATATGTGATGAAGTAATTTCACCGAATAAACTAATCCAAAATTCTATTTTTTTTAGTAGTTCTGCATACGTTATTTATCTCTTTCTCATTTGTTTAGTTAAGGACTTTTGTCCTTTATCAATTGAAAATTATTGCTTAGTATGCTGCATTCTATATTCCATTCTTCCTATTTGTGACAAACAAACTTATTAATACCACTGCGTGGTAGTAATATTCGCTAAGCAACATTATATGTTTTAAGTTATCATTTGATATGATATTTTTTTCAATCGTATTGACTTTTCAACAAAGTTTATTCACTTTTTCCTTTTCAGTAGAATTACACATTTTTATATTTAACAAATTTTTAACTTTAAACTTTTTATGTTAAACTTAATAATATATTCGCAAAGAAATGTCATGATCACAAGTTCTAAGGCTAATTTTGGTAACACAGCGCCTTTTTTCCTTTTATTTTTGTCCAGTCAAACACATGACATATAACAATGAAACAGAAAACCTATAAAATGAAACAAGATATACATTGTTGAATAAAACATAAAAATCAGATCCGTTGCACTTCTACATAATTTAGTTTATGCCTGAAAGTTCCCTCTATGTTCTATACAATATAGCTTATACACTTGAGAATTATCATTTTGAATCTCGAGAGTTATCATTTTTCACCACTTAAAAACCTGAGATTTAACATGGAGAACAAACATGCATACAGGTGGGAGAGAGAGGTGTACAAATGTCAGGGGGGCAGAAGCAGAGGATAGCCATAGCAAGAGCCACAATCAAGTCGCCCAGAATACTCCTCCTAGACGAGGCAACCAGTGCACTTGACTCTGAATCAGAACGCGTCGTGCAGGAAGCTCTAGACAAGGCCGCTGTTGGCCGCACCACAATCATCATAGCCCATCGCCTCTCAACTATTCGCAATGCTGACCTTATAGCCGTGGTCCAAGATGGTCAGGTCAAGGAAATTGGCTCACACGATGACCTGATTGAAGAGGAAAACGGACTATACACCTCCTTAGTCCGTCTCCAACAAACCGAAAAACCAAGTGATGAATTCTACATTGCATCTACCAATAAAAGCATTGCCTTCGCCCCATCGAATTTAAATCCCGGATCCGTCTCGGACTATGACATGCAAAATACAAGTAGCCGAAGGCTTTCGATTGTGAGCCGGTCGACTTCAGCAAACTCAGCTGCGCAAAGCCGTAGAGAGGATCAAAACGCAACAATTTCCAGTACTACAGAACAAGTATTTCCTGTACCTTCATTTAAAAGGCTGCTGGCTATGAATTTGCCAGAATGGAAGGAAGCAACATTGGGATGTATAGGAGCAATATTATTTGGTGGAGTTCAACCAGTGTATGCTTTTGCAATGGGGTCAATGATTTCTGTCTATTTCTTGCCTAGTCATGATGAGATTAAGGAGAAGACTAAGATATATGCTCTGTGTTTCCTGGGACTGGCATTCTTTTCCCTTATTGTCAATGTACTTCAGCACTATAATTTTGCAGCCATGGGAGAGCAATTGACTAAAAGGGTCAGGGAAAGGATGTTGTCCAAGATGCTTACTTTTGAAATTGGGTGGTATGACAAAGACGAGAATTCCACTGGTGCTGTTTGCTCTAGACTAGCCAAGGATGCCAATGTGGTAAGTCCTCTAGTACTATTAACACTTAAAGCAACAACAATCTAATTAACATAATTCGTGGAAGATAACACTTGCTGCTTTTATAATTGTACAGGTGAGGTCTTTGGTTGGGGACAGGATGGCACTACTCATTCAAACAATCTCGGCGGTGACCATTGCTTGCACCATGGGCCTAGTTATCGCATGGAAACTTGCATTGGTTATGATCGCGGTGCAGCCTCTCATCATAGTGTGCTACTATTGCAAGAGAGTGCTATTGAAAAGCATGTCTAAGAAATCCATAAAGGCACAAGAAGAAAGCAGCAAGTTGGCAGCTGAAGCAGTTTCCAATCTCAGAACTGTAACAGCCTTCTCCTCCCAGGCCCGAATCCTTCAAATGCTCAAGAAAGCCCAAGAAGGCCCACAACGAGAAAGTATACGCCAGTCGTGGTTTGCTGGAATCGGGCTTGGTACTTCCAACAGTCTCATGACATGTACCTGGGCTCTTGATTTCTGGTATGGTGGCAAACTCATGGCAGCAGGGGAAATTGGAGCAAAGGCACTCTTCCAGACCTTCATGATTTTAGTTAGCACTGGACGTGTCATTGCGGATGCTGGAACAATGACTAATGACCTCGCCAAAGGTGCCGATGCAGTTGGGTCAGTCTTTTCAGTGTTGGATCGGTATTCCTTAATCGAGCCAGAGGATTCAGAAGGTTACAAGCCCAAGAAACTAATCGGCAATGTTGAGCTTTGTGGTGTGGATTTCGCGTACCCTGCTAGACCCAATGTGATTATCTTCAAGGGGTTCTCAATAAAAATTGAAGCAGGAAAATCAACAGCATTGGTAGGACAAAGTGGATCAGGAAAGTCCACTATAATTGGTCTAATAGAAAGATTCTATGATCCCTCAAGTGGCACAGTGAAAATAGATGGCCGTGACATAAGATCATACGACTTGAGATCATTGAGGAAACACATTGCACTTGTCAGCCAAGAACCAACATTATTTGCAGGAACCATAAGGCAAAACATAGCCTATGGAGCATCAGAAGAAGTGGATGAATCAGAAATAATTGAGGCCGCGAAGGCAGCAAACGCTCACGATTTCATCTCAGCACTAAAAGATGGATATGAGACTTGGTGCGGGGACAGGGGACTGCAGTTGTCAGGTGGCCAAAAACAGAGAATAGCGATAGCACGGGCAATACTGAAAAATCCAGGGGTGCTGTTGTTGGACGAGGCAACAAGTGCATTGGACAGTCAATCTGAGAAAGTAGTACAAGATGCACTTGAGAGAGTGATGGTTGGCCGAACAAGTGTGGTGGTGGCTCACAGGCTAAGTACTATACAGAATTGTGACACCATTGCTGTACTGGACAAAGGCAAAATTGTGGAGAAAGGGACTCACTCTTCTTTGTTAGCTAAAGGGCCTAGTGGAGTTTACTACTCTCTTGTTAGCCTTCAAAGAACACCAAACTCTAGCAACACCTTCATCAATTAATCATCATCAAATGAGAATATTCCCAAATAATCTTGAAAATCAGTAGCCTCTTTTTCGTTTCTTGTTTTTCACCTTCATTCCCAAAGAACTCTTTGGGATATTTGTTGGCTGCTTGGAAGTCTTTGTCCCATTTTAAATGTATAGATATTTTGGTATTTTTATCAATACATTTAACTTTATAGCTGGTTACTTGAATCATTCCACCTTCCCTTGTGACCAGACCTGTTATAGGTTTCATTCTTAACTTTCTTTTTTCTTCTTGTTGTAAGAGTACTAGAGCTTCATACAGATAAACTGTTCAAGCAGTTTTAGCGGTAAAACCTTATAACCTTAATACTAAAAGACCCCAGAAGAGACTAGAAATTTGGCATAGCGAAGGATCCACAACTTGAACACTAATCAAGTAAGAACGAATGTCATCATTGAAACAGGTTACACTAAAAACATGAATGGGCTATGTAAAAAACGAAGCAACCAACAAAGTTCTAAGATCTAGGGGAATAGAGGAAAGCATAACATTATTAGCTGAATCCTGAGAAATCACAAATCAGGATTTTCACTATTGCACTTCCATGGATATGATCTCAATAGGAAAAAACAGAAAACATCTCCGTACCACCTGAAATTGCTTCTGCTTTGGACAGCTTTAGGGAAAAAACACATTGTTCGTGCATATCGTGGAATAAATCCGCCTTAAGTTTAATAAAATTCAACTTTTTATCCCCTTCGAGGTGATCAACCAGTGAAAGATAAAAAAACACAAAGTTCAACAATTTACAGACGCCCCTACCTTTATATGAATTACACCTACTAAAACACTAAACATGACATAGGAACCAATGTTAGATTGGTTAAATTGAGCTATCAGCCACACCTCAAATCCTAAGTCAACAAAATAACACTGCTAAAACCTCACCTTCACACAGCATACTAAATCTAAAAGTGACTCAGAAGTCAGAACTACCATCACCTTTTCACATAATGCTATCTCCTAGAACCTTCATGGCCCTTTAGAAGATGTCTCGTTCATTCCACATAGATAACAATGACGAAATTCAAGAATTAAAAGCATCCAACCTCTACAGAATACATCAGACTATCACCAATTGAACATGATATTTTGAATGATATATATATTTTGCATAATTTAAGAACTTAGGAGCGCAAAAGGGTGATCTATGATTTCCAAAAATTATGATACCAGAATTAGAATGTTAAGTAACCTGTAACAACATCAATATCAAAATTTGCACAGACGCAATTCCAGATCTTTTGATGCACTAATAGTCTTGGTGCAAAAGTAATTCAGTGCCCAAAATGGACTCCTTTGACCGTGAAATTGTTTTCATTACTATAATCAACAGCCAAAAAAACTGAAACAGATAAGAACAAACAAATGTGTATTAATCTTGGAAACAGATGACAGCCAACTTCAAGCACCAAGCAGTTGCATGAGAGAGTTATCTAAACCCTATGATTATCTCATCTGATAACCTAACAAATAAAAGATTTTGGATAATTAAATAATCCATCAAACAATATCAACCAGAAAGTTAACCTCAACCTCACAAACAACCTGAGATGGACATAAATTACCATAACTATAGTGCAGTAAACATAAAGAGCATCATTATATTACCACAAAAAAGATACAAGGCAAATGAGAAATCATGAATAGAAAAAGGTTCAACTTACTACATTCTGTTGATCCTTTTCAAAATCTTCTATAAGAAGGGGGTCAACATTTTCTTCGGGTTCCCACGTAGCTTCCTCAATATCAGTCCATTTAACCAAGTATTCTCCCTTCCCATCCTCACCTTCTCTCTTTTCCAGAATACACTCTGCTACTGCATATTCCAAACCAGCCTCAAAATCCCTCACCAAATCTTCAGATATCAGCCATGCTTTGACCCATTCGTTATCCTCCCCATCCTTCCACTTCACTAAATACTCCACATTTTCGCCTTTCCCTCTCTTCTCCAATATCTCTTCTACTTGTGCATACTCGAAAATCGCATCCTCCAAAATCCTAACCACATTCTCTAATCCCAATCTCCTAGCAAATTGCATTGGATTTCCTTTAGGCGTTTGATTCAAAATCATCCTCGCTAAGCTCAGCGGCGTTTGTCCTCTATAATCCTCGACCTCGGGGTCTGCCCCGAGGTCAATTAACAGCTTGGCGACACCCGGCTTAACATAGCCGGCTGCCATGTGCAGAGCCGTCAAGCCGCCATTCCTATCGCGATAGTCCACGTCAGCGCCGGCTTCAGCTAGTAGCTTGACACACGGCTCGGACCCGAGACCCGAGACAAAGAGCAAAGCCGTACGTCCATCCTCATCAACTGCATCCACATCTCTGTCGTCGTCAGCTTCTAGAAGTTTCCTAAGAGCGGATTCGTCGGCCTTTTTAGCCGCATTCCACCAAGGAGTTTCGTACTCGGCCACAACATCTTTAGCAATGTAATCAGAGGGAACCCACGTTGGGGCATGTTCGTCTTTCCACTCTATTAAGTACTCCATTCCTTTCCCTCCTTCAATTGCTCGACTGCCGATAATTTTGTTAACTTCTCCGTACGTTTCATCCTCATCGTAATCTTCAAACAGTACCGGTTCTTCCTCTTCTGCTGCTGCGACTGCTTGTTGCTGCTGGTTCTGAAGCGTAGCAAATACTGATAAATTGTTCTTGTTGCCGAGTTTCTTTAGACGGATAAAAGGTTGATGAGAGAAGGGAGGGAATTGAGGGGAGAATTTGAGTTTGAGGCGGGAGAGGGAGGAATTGACGAACAGAGCATCCATTGGAGAGCGACGCTGAGAATCGGGCTCTGCTTCTTTTGAATGGCCATGAACATCTCATAATCCTATAAGGGGATGCTTTAAGGATAAGATATTAGTATATCTATTCATTTTCCACTGTAATGAATGTGTGACTTGGCGTCTCCTCAAATGCGGGAAATTACGCCAATAATCTTGCAAATAGACGGTTTTGATTAATTAAGAATAATGACTCACAATAAACAAATACCAATAGCTCTAGGAACACGTTATACTTCCTAAAAATTATTATATTTGACAACCTCTTATTATATCGTCTGAATCTAAACCTAATACCAATACCTCTAGGAATGTGTTACTTCTTAAGCATTCTTATATTTGACAACATTTTATATTTTTCGAATCTTTTCCTATTACTAATTTAATTTGAGAACTTATTATATTGTTCCAATCCATTAGAATAAAGGAGTCAAACACTTCTATAAAAGAAGTCATTATTCCATATTTTCCACCATAAACTTGTTAAGAAGTATTATCCATAATAAAATTCTGAAAACTTTGCGATTCTGCAAACATCACGAAAGGTATTATTTCTTTTCATTATTAAATTTCTTTATTGACCTCATCAACCAAGTTCTCATGGGCGAAGCTACATTCCCTCCTTCGCCGAAAAATTACAGTGTATATATAGGTAAAATATTAGGTTTTAGAGGTATATAATATATATTGAACACCCTTTATTGGAAATTTTTTTTCACTTAGTTTAAGTTTGAACACCCTTAAAGAAATTTCTGGCTTCGCCACAGCAAGTTCTTTGCCTTTAGCTTATGTTTGCACGTGTTTTCAGTTCTGTCCTAAAATAGTTAATGATTTTGGTATGAAGTTTAAGTTTTGATTCCTCTGAAAAACAAGAACATATCACAAAATCGTCTAACTCTTTGTTACTATATTGGTTAGACCTCCAACTCATTGTTACTATTAACTTGCCTAGTGGCAAATTTTAAGGCCAAAAGTACTGTCCATGAACAAGCCACAAGCAACACTTGTTAAATTTAGAATTTTACGTATGGAACAAACGAGATTGAAAATCAAGAATGGCATCCAAAATGTCTTATTTCTGCAAATCACGCTAACTTCTTTCTGCCCCCAAGGAAGCGCGAATGGGTACTAGTGTTTTAGGTTTCGGGTACAAGTGTGAGAATGAATTTTTTTTTTTTTTTGTAAGAAACTATTTAGTGAATCCTATATATATTCCTGGCTAATGTGCCACAAATATATACATATTTTTTGTATAATTATTGTATTTTGTATGTTATATACAAAAATTATATACTTTTTCGATCATCAAAATATCGAATTAAATAGTTTCTATCACGGGCTAAAAGTGAATAAAACCCTTATTGATCTATTTTGTCCCAATAGTTTGATGAGTCATTTTAGGCTAATCTATTAGATCAAGTCACAAAATGAGTCATAACCTAGCCCATTCAAACTTTGACAGACTGTTAAAAAAATGGATAATCTACATGGTCTATCTATTAAAAACACCAGTTAACTCCATATATTTTTAAAATATTTATTTTACATTCTATGTCTATTTTATAAAACTTTATTACTTCTTAAATCTTTAATATCATTATATGCCATTAAACATATCCCACCTTTTAAGGGACTAGATTATCTTTCACTCCAACTTAATAAATTCCTTAAAACATTCCATCATCCCACGAAATTAGGATTATACATTTTCACCAAAAATATTTGAACCCTAATAATTTCTCTTGCTCTAAATAAACAACTCTCTCTATTCTTTTCTATGACATGGGGATGCAGTTGGCAAAAGAATATGAAAATGAGCATTTGTTATGTTCAAGACAATACCTCTTTACCATTTATTTGTCGATGAAGTGTTTCATCTTTTTTTGTTTTCTTCTTCTATCTATGTAACAAAAGAAAAGTTAAAATAACGTAAAAATATTTTAATTTGGGATACAGTATCTAAACTAAAAGAAATATTAGAACATACTAGTATTCAAACTAATATATACACCACAATATTCTAATGAAAAATGCAATATTCAAATCAAACATGCCATAATTTTCTAATTTGGAATACACTATTCAAACTAAACATACCATAATTTTCTAATAGAATACAATATTCAAACCAAACATACCATAATATTTTAATGTGGGATATATTATCCAAACCAAATTAAACATAACAAATTACAATAGATTAATGAAGAATATAGTATTCAAAACATCATACCATAATATTCTAATAAAGAATATAATATTTAAAATCAAACATATCACAATATCCTAATTTGGAATACAATATTCAAACCAAATATACCACAATATTCTAATCTGGAATACAGTATTCAAACTAAATATAGCACAGTATTCTTATTTGGAATACAATATTAAAATCAAACGTACTTTTATTTTTATTTATTGTTTATATATTAGTTTATTTGGAATATTAACATACTTTAATAGTATACAATTACTAGTTTACTGTATAATTTTTTTATTGTATACAAGAAAATAAGGACAAAGGTTCCCATAAAAAAATAAAAAATTGTTTAATTTAATGGATAATATTTTTTTATTCTTTAATTTTATGTCCAAGTTATAAATGGATGTGGTAAGACTTTGGATCTGCTTCGTATATATAATTTCCTTTAATTTACGCGACAAATTTGTTAGGTAGTTATTGTCCTTTGACTAATTAAATATGTGGAGTAATTAATTAATGTGTACTACATGTAATTTTATAAGTGAAGTATACAATGTTAAGAGTTCTTTAGAGGGGGTATACGGTGTAAAGTTCCAAAAAAAATTGCCATCTCTACTTAATTTTGTCAACCTCTAGGCATTTTGTATTTCCATAGCACAAAGTACAAAAGCTAGCAGCGTAAAATATTATAAAAAGATCAAAATAAACACCCCATCTTTGACCTAATTGTTAACAACCCAAACAGGACGCGGAAGAGGCCTTATTAAGGGGCTAATACATAAACAGAAGGAAAAGAGCTCAAGATTCTCCACATCGCCTATATATTCACGTTATTATAATATATATCACTTTTTCGGAGTTCTCCAACGTTAGAGAGGGAAAAAAGAAGGAAAAGGTAGGGGAAGACATAGAGAATAACAATTCTTCTACTGATCCAAATCATTGATTAACTCCTTTCTCGTTGTTTGATCTGCTGAGACTTTTGTGTTTTCTTCCTCCGAAAATCCGAGGAAAACTTCAAAAGTTTTACTTTATATTAGCAAATCAAACATCTTTTTTTGCTGTTTCTTATTTATTGTAAAGCTTATTCTTGTTGTCCTATTTTTGCAGCATGTTGCTATTAGGAGTCAATATATTTGGTTCTTCCCCTGGAGAATCGTAAGCTCTCTTTTCCTTTTCTTCACTTTCTCCGTCTCTGGTGATTTTTATGTACACGAGACTTTGTTGAATTCTTGGTAATTCTAAATAAATCAGTGATTGTTAGTTGCTACAATATGGTGCATGTCTATAATTAATTTTATGATCACAAATATATATATATATATATATATATATATACTAGTTTCTCGATACGTGCGTTACACGTGTATGTCTTATGCACATTCTTATAAAACAACTTTACTGTTAGTAAAATAAAGCTCTGAATAAATAACTATATATGAAAGAAGATGGTCAAGTTTCTATGAATAATTAATGTCATTGATTGTCATATATACGATGACTTATTTGTCCAAGATGATGAATCTCTCATAAAGGAATAATTGTATGATCATATTCATGCATGTTTTAAAATTACAAATTATATAAATTACATTAATTTGTCTATATAATATATCAAATGTACATTTTTCATGGAACTCTTGTAATTTTAACTTATCTTATGTTGTAACTTTATCTCTTTTCTCCTTTTCCATTCTTCTTCGGTAAGTGGTTCACTGTTATTAACATGCAAATTACATCTGAAAAGTTTGTTAATATTAGTGATAAATATCAAGTGATTCTGTAGGAAAATAATTCATAAATTCCAAAAGGAAATTACCTAAGCTAGTGCAGTCATTAAATTTTTTTCGCCTCTCAAAGGACACAAAATATTTGATTTAAAAAAAAAAATTGTGGAAGTGACATTGTCAGATTCTTTACAATGATATTGTTGTCATTCCACATTTTGTGTGCTAAAGAGTAGTTGGAGTTAACATGATCTAATCGACCATTCATAAAATAGTAACTCTTACTTGGTTTAAAGAAAGTCTTTCACTTTTTGACATGACTAGTAGTCGTACCCGCGCGATGCGCGGTCAATATTAAAAAAATATTTGTCACTTTGTTAATTTTTCGATGTTACATTTGGAATTATCACAATTATTTGATTATCCTATTCTATATAAATAGAATAGATACTGTCTAAATTTTAATAAATAAAATCTCCATTAAATTAAAGGGATTTATATAGTCATCAAATAATTTTTTCGTTATGTATTTTTATTTATTATATTATCCAATATTTAGTATAATTATATTGTTAATAGAAATTATGACACTTGTTATTATAACATTTCTTTGCCTCTCCTATTATATATATATATATATATATATATATATAGATTTCTTTGACTCTCCTATTATATATAAATATTATATATTATATATTATACATATATATTATATTATATTATANAATTTAATGTTAAACTAATTAACATTACAAGCAATTGGGATAATAAGACAATTATAGATTTCATAAAAGAATATAAATATTAAATTTATATTCTGAAAATTAAGTCCATAAGACTAATTTTAATAATCTGAAATTTATTTAAAAAATAACATAACTAAATTTAAATTTTATTTAGGCCATTTGCCTACAATAAAATTAAACAAGACATATAAAAGTGAGCCTTTAGCCCATGACTTAAATCTGCTACCACAGAAAGAGGCCCATGAAACCTATTAAACCCAACAAAATAGTTATCCAATTAAAAAAAAGAGGTTTTTTCCTATCTATACCATATATGAAACCTTATTACAAAAAATGTGCATATTTCCATTATTACTCGCTATGTTTATATTTTTCCTACAAAATT